CCATCTCATTTCAAGCTTCTCGCGGCCCTTGTGTGCAGGCGTCTTTAAGTACATGACACATTCGCCAAATTCAGGAATTTGCTTATTAAACTTTCTTCCCCTGCACCTCTCATGGGCTGTCTTCCCATCTGTGTCTATCGTGAACTTGTTAGTCAGAGAAGACGCATAGCTCACCAGCCACGGTATTATCGGGTGACTCTCACCAAACTCAGTCTTATAATTGGCATCCAAGGCGCTCTTTAACGTTCTGACTTGACCCTGTACCGTCCTAACAGCCCTCTCGATTTCACCGTTGGCCTTTGAGTCACCTACTGGACTGACTTCAACACCCATGTCAAGGTCACACGACGCTTTAATTCTGTTGGCCAGTGCCGTGATTGCCGCTTCTCCATCGCTTTTGAGAATAACCTTCTTGTATCCGGTAAAGCTGATCATATCACATCACACCTTTACTGAGTATGAGTCCACTCCTTTTTTCACCAACACTCTGCTCCATGTTAATTTGGTCTCCCTGCAATGCATGACCAGAATTGGGTTGCCATTGCTGGCACTTTCACCTTCTTCCTTTTTTCCTTTAAGCCACATGTAGTCCATTGAAATCACTGGCACGTTTCCGTTCCCTTCTCTTTTGCGTCTACGGTGATTGCGCCTGCGTGCTTTTCCTCTAACACAATGTGGGCACCAGCTTCGGTAAGGTAAATGCGTCGTGTTATGCGTCTCAACTTCCTCCTTTGAGGGCCTCATGTCACAGTAAACTGTCTTCGGTAACTCCGCTTCATCGCTCACAAATACATCTTCCACATCGCTCAACTCACTCTCGTTGCCCCCACTTTCACTCCCTTCGTCTCCTTCGGTATTAAAGACGTTTAAGTTTTCGCTTGGTCTTACGGGTAATGGGGGGCTTAGTAGAACAGGTCCGCCTCCAGGGTTCCCGGCCGCGGAAAACCCTCAGCTGCGTTCACTTCACTCCTGGGATTGACGGCTTCCGCTGGTCCCCTCGGCACTGTAATGTTGAACTGAAACGCGCCGTTCTTCTCGTGAATAATTGTGGATTTACCTGTGGCCTTATTCATGATGTGGCTCAGGGACCTCCCGTTAAGGTCCTTGTCAAACACAACTCTATTTCCAGCGTTTACCATTTCTCTGACGGATCCCAGAACTTTGTTGACTTCCGCTACCTGGATCGGCATACTGACTGCGTTCCCATGTTCATTTTTGCCCGTGATCACTCGTTGACCATAATTCTTTATCGTTGTCCCATTCGCTGCGCTGTAATGTCTTCCCTGCTTTGACGCATCCGTATGCTCAATGGGGAAGTAGGTGCCAACCTTGGGGGGTCCCACTGTATTATACGCCCCAGAGTCCACGGTAACCACGATCGTCTCATGCGTTGCACTCAGTGGTGGCACCGCGTTAATTTCTGGATCACAGTCCCGCATTTCAATTCGCCCAATGTCTCTGCATTTCTCTAGCCAACGTTTTTCCTGTTTTATGATTTTACTTATCCTCTGGTCCCATTGACTCACATGATTACAATCTCCGTTACATTGATGCTCCTGGTAAATTCTTTTCAGACTCATCGCAGTTCTACGCGCCATTTTCTTTCTGGCATATGAGGGCAGATCCCATTGCCCGTTAACCTCCTCAATTGCGAGTGGGTTCAGTGGCACGTTCACTGCGTCCTTCATCTCAACGCTGAGAACATGTTGCGGTTGGCCGAACGAGGTGGTTTGTTCACTTTCAGCGTTCATTGTAGGTCTCTCCTGCTCAACTTCGTTGGCGGTCTTCTTGGAGCCCGGGCAGTTAATGGCGATGTGCCCTTTGGCACCGCACTTGTAACACTCACGCTCGCTATGGGGGGGGTGAATTTTCCTTGGCCTCCATAACTTCCACCCCACGAGCCACTTCCTTTACCACCTTGTTTACCACCGGTCTTACCTTTCACGTAGGATCCGTAGGTGGCCCGGTAACCCTTGCCTTTTCCGCCTTTGCCACCTTTACCTCCTTTGGTAAACTGTTTAGGTCTTGTGCAATTTCTGGCTGAATGACCCATGCCCCCACAATTGTAACATTTGGGGCCCGCGCCTTTACCTTTGCCTTTGTTTACGGCGTCAACTCCTTCATGGTCCCCACTGTCACTCTCATTGGCCCAGGACCCGTAACTCCACGATCCATCTTCTGGCCACCAGTTTCCGTCCTCGTCAACCCATCCTGTTTGGTCCCAAACATTTTCGGACCCTTGACCCATCTCGTTGATGTTCCCAATGTCCATCGCATCTTTATTTTTTGTGTCTGAGTCGAGTTTCTTTTTCCGCGCCCAGTCTTCGCACTTGGAGCATAACTTCTGGAATGAGTCAATGTTAAGCGCGTCGGGCGTTCGCCAGCACGCCTGCTGCCATTCATCAAACCAATCGTTCGCATGCACCATTATTGCCCTGAGTGCGGTGACTTTAAAAGGAAGAGGCAGCGAGTAATCTTTACCGTACTTTTCAAGGTTTTCTGCCAATGCGCTCCACTCCTCAAGTCGGGTAACGGTGTCAGTAATTTTCTTGGGCGGCTCAGGGTTCATGGCGTGTGTCATCTTTGATGACAGAGTCGCTCCGGTAACAGCCGAGAACCATTTGTAGACCTTTTGCCAGGCCATGATTCCATCTCCATCCATAAGTCCCTTTAATTTTCCTCTTGCTTCTGCACCTTCGAGCTTCTCGTTGAGAATGTACCATGAGTCTTCCTCCATTTGAGTTTTGTCTCCCTCGGTAAACTCGTGCTCTCCTTTGTTGTCATCCTCTGCTTGTTTAGCTGAATTCGCCTTCAAGTATTCGCTTGCTGTTAATCGGCCGCTCATTATGCGTATGATGTCATCATCGTCCTCCTCTGGTACAACTCCGTCGAGCGTCTCGAACTTCTTGTTTAGCATTTTCAGCGCCGGTCGGTAACTCGGTTTTACTTGGGCCAGCGCGTTCAAGAACTTGTCGTTCCAGTCTTTGAACTTTGCTCTTTCTCCACTGAAGTTCTTTAACGCCTGTAATGCCTTATATTCGCTTATCGGTTTACCGCTCCCGTGCTTGCTTCCACTTCCTCCTTTAATTGCTTCCGAAAGCTGACCAAATTTTTCAATTAACTTTTCTTGTACCTCGCTGTTGGTCTCCAACTCGGTGACTCTTTCCACCAGTCTGCGAGCATCCCTTTCAAGTGCAGCATTTCTTTTCGTAATCGCTAACAACATGCTGTTGGTCTTATGAGCACTCTGTAACATTTGGAATGCCTCGGCGTTCGATACCTCCCTTCGGTCCTGTGTCACTCGCTCGTTGATGAACGTTGCGAGTCCGAAATGGTTCGCGAGTAACGCTGTCTGAACGTAACTGAAGTCTCCGTTCAGGTATGCTTGCTCACACAGGTCGTTGAAGCGGTTGGGGTCCATGTTGACCCATGCGTCTCTGTCTGCCGGCACGTTGAGGTTAACCGGCGGGTCGCCCTGCCCAGGCCTAGCTGCAGCGGCCGCCGCCGCCGCCATGGCAACCGCGCTCCGCTACCATGCAAAATCCCGAGGAGGGTTCTGCACGGGAGCCTGGTAACAATGATGATGATCGGTCACCTTTATACTCCCGCACGGCGAAGCAAGTCTCGGTAGCTTCAGCCGTTAAACACTTGAGCCAAAGGCAACGGGGTTACTATTCCTCCCCAGTCACCTGAACGCTTGCATGTTAACACTTCCTCCTCCTCCTCCTCCTCCTCCTCCTCCTCTTTCTGCTGCTCCTCCTCCTCCTCCTCCTCCTCCTCCTCCTCCTCCTCCTCCTCCTCCTCCTCCTCCTCCTCCTCCTCCTCCCTCCTCCTCCATCTGATCGAGAATCTCGACTGCATGCCCGAGCCCTCGCCTGAAGCCCCGCCGCCTTCCGAGACGGCCCGGCCCCTCGAGGAGCCTCGTCGCCCGGCGTGCTGCTCGTAAAAATCTCGGGCCTCCGGCGGCCGTGCCGGACCACCCGCTCTCGGCGGGGCGCAGCTGCTGACACGCACCCCGAGGCGGGAAGCCTGCCGAAGACGCGCGAAGAGGCCGAAAAACCGCGGATTTCGAACTCTGGGCGCCTCCGCGCCCTCCCGCCTCCCCCCCTCTCCGCGCCCCTCGCACCAGCTGGGCGCCTCTCGGCGAGGCGCAGCTGCCGGCACGGATCCCGAGGCGGGAGAGCGGCCGAGCACCCGCGCTGCGGCCTGGCCAGAGCCTGGAGTGGAAACGGGCCCGTGGCGGCCAGACCCCCTCCCCGGAGAAGCCCAAAGAGGGTGCGCGCACACTGCCCAGACCCCCGATGTCGTGATTTTTGCGCAATGTCGACCCCTAGATGCTCAGAGGCTCAGCGTATAGTATAGTAAGCGTTTTTTTGTTCGGCGTTTCGACGTTGGGAGGACGGGGGGGAGGGGGGGGGGGGTCTGGCTCTGGAACTCTGCTTTGTGCGACTGTTTGCAGCAGTGCGTCCGTTATGGGGGAGGCTCCGCCTGCTCGAAACAGGCGCCCAAACACAGCCAAGTTCCCCTCCATGGGGGGAGGGGGACGGCGGGGTACGAAGGCCAGCGCCGATCGGCAAAACAACGAATAAAAACGATCACGTACTCGAAGATGCCCGAAAGCCTCAGAATTCGAACTACAGGCGCAACCGTCGAGTCTCCGTGGCGCCCTCTTGCCTCTCCGCCTCTCGGCGCGTGCCCGAGGAGGAGGAGGAGGAGGAGGAGGAGGAGGAGGAAGAGGAGGAGGAGAAGGGGGAGGAGGAGGAGGAGAAGGGGGAGGAGGGGGAGGAGGAGAAGGAGGAGGAGGAGGAGGAGGAGGAGGAGGACGAGGAGAGGGGAGGAGGAGGGGAGGAGGAGGAGGAGGAGGGAGGAGGAGGAGGAGGCGAGGAGGTCAGAACGAGGAGGGGACGAAGAGGAGGACGAGGAGGAGGAGGAGGAGGAGGAAAGGAGAAGGAGGACGCCGACGACGACGAGGAAGAGGACGAGGGGGAGGAGGACGAGGC